ATTTATTTCCTCTGGACAATCTCAGAGCTGTCCACAATGACCAGCACACCTTTGTGAAGGTGAAAGGAAATCAGGAAGCACTGACTCTCCTATCACTTTTCCACACGTGCAAGGCTAAGTGGAACAAATGTCAAGGGAAAGGAAAACAAATGATAAAAATATCCAAGGTGGAGTCTCCCTTTTATATCCTGGATTAGTCACACACATGCCAATCTCTCTTTCATTGTGTCAGTAAATCAGTGTTAATGCTTATACGTTTTGAACATGGAAGAGGCATGTTTAACCGAAGTTGGAAAACATGGGTATGAAGAATGTAGTAAGAATTACAGAGCTCAGTAGATAACTTGATAAAGTCATCCAGGATGATACCACGTGAAAACTTCTGCCTCTACAGGAGACCTACTCAGATAGGTTGAAAGTATTAGAAGATACTATATTAAGGTTAAAGCTGTTTAGTGCAGCAAGGAATAAAATGAAGTCCCAAGGTCAGATGTTTCCTGTGGCACTAATTTACAGGTTCCATCCAAAGTTGGTTTTACCGGAAAAAAAAAATTATATATACATATAAATATTCTGCAGAAAATTGCAGCTTACTCAGAAAGCTTCCTAGAGGCTCTAACAGGAGCTACTCTGTAAGAACTCAAAGCTCAGCACTACAGTTAAACCAACAACATCAGAAGTGCAATTAGTTATATTTCTCAATTTCTTTCTGGGGAGCATCATCACGTTACGTGAGTACCAAATTCACCTAGGCACAAAAAGGATCAGGTGTGCGATAAGCAAGCCTCCTTTAAAAGCTAGAAAGATTCACAACTGAATTAAATCAGATTTAAGAGCAACTGCCTCTTCAATCAAGAAGAGGCAAACAATATCATTATCATCTTATCTTCTCTGGGTGAAAACAAACAAAAAAATAATGAAAAGAGCAGAGAGATGGAGCCAAGACCTTGTCCAGCTTTACAAGATGCCATTTATCACTGTATAACCTGAAGGCTTAATGTCACTGAGAGACCTCAAAACATCCTGCTGCTTCTAGATGTAGGCAGGTAATTCACCACATCAAACCAATCGCTTTATCATCTGCAAGCTTCGGAGCATTACAAGAGCTGCTCTTACTCAGCTTCTAACAGTTCCATCTTTACAGTCAAGCTGCTCTTTTTGTGGAGTCCACATGAACTGGGATATTTCAATTAGCCCAGGACAAAAGTTCTTTCAAAGTCAACTGATCTTCTAAGTTACTCCAAAAACCTTGTCAGCTTTACTGACTGACGGCATAAGTCTATCATCCAGGGAACGCCAGCTGCTCAAAAGTCTCAATGATAGCGTGTTATTGACCCTGCTCTTCTGCAGGCACTCAAATAGAGTAACCTCCCTGGGTGCCAGAGAAAGAGTGAAAACACACTAGGTTATCCCTCTGTGGCCAGAGAGGTGAAATTCCAACTACCCATTCTGTTAACATTTATTTTCCAACAGAATTCACATGTACCTTTTGCAGTGCGGCATATAGGCAAGAGCAGCCATCTACGAGCTACTTAGAGTCAGTGGAAGGAAAGAGCTGAGAGAAGAGCTGACTGGTTTTGTAAGCATTGGAGAAAGTGAACTGGCCAGCAAGATTATTTTTTTTATGGAGTTCTGACAGACGAAGTACTAAAAGAAGCATACGTGACTGGAAACAATAAAAGAATAATTGCAGCTTAACCACAAGAAGTCTGTATAACACCAGTATTAAATATAGATATAGATACATATAATACTAACCATCAGTATCATAATGCTAATGAAAGAATAATAAAAGTCACCATCCATTCAGGAAAGTCACAGAAGAATCAGGAAACACATTCACAGAATCACAGAATGTCAGGGGTTGGAAGGGACCTCAAAAGATCATCTAGTCCAGCCCCCCTGCCAGAGCAGGATCCCCTACAGTAGGTCACACAGGAACTCATCCAGGTGGGTTTTAAATGTCTCCAAAGAAGGAGACTCCACAACCTCCCTGAGCAGCCTGTGCCAGGGCTCTGTCACCCTCACAGTGAAAAAGTTTTTCCTAATATTTTTGTGGAACCTCCTATGTTCCAGCTTGTATCCGTTGCCCCTTGTCCTGTCATTGGACATCCCTGAGAAGAGCCTGGCTCCATCCTCCTGACACTCCCCTTGACATATTTATAAACATGAATGAGGTCACCCCTCAGCCTTCTCTTCTCCAAGCTAAAGAGACTCAGTTCCTTCAGCCTTTGAAGTATTATTTCACTTCTTCTTGAAGCTTTATTTTTTTGATTAATCTGCTTAACATATTTACACAACAAAAATATGGAAAAAAACCCTCCACATTATCCTAGAAGTCAGGTTTATTTAAGATTCACTTTGTCTGAAACTGTGTAAAAGAAGGATTTAATGTGAAGTGTAATATATTGAGTGCAGTCTCAGCAAGTTTGCAGATGACACCAAGCTGCGTGGTGCGGTCGACACGCTGGAGGGAAGGGAGACCATCCAGAAGGACCTCAACATGCTTCAGAGGTAGGTCTGGGTGAACCTCATTACGTTCAACAAGGCCCAAGGCTGGGTGCTGAATGGATTGAGAGCAGGCCTTTGGAGAAGAACTTAGGGGTACTGGTGGATGAAAATTTGGACATGAGTCAAGCATGAGTTGTCCAGAGGCCAATCGCATCCTGGGCTGCATCAGAAGCAGCATGGCCAGCAGGTCAAGAGAGGTGATTCTGCCCCTCTGCTCTGCTCTGGTGAGACCCCACCTGGAGTACTGCATCCAGCTCTGGAGCCTTCGACACAAGACAGAGATGGACCTGTTGGGATGTGTCCAGAGGAGGCCACATACA